TTTTGAGAGAAGCATTGCAACTTGAGATATTTACTAAGCCTAGTTTGGTACGGGGTTATAATAGTGTAAAGCACAGTTAGGTTATAACTCACGATACCAACGATACTTTGAGACTCTCTTGATAGCAATCGCTCTACTGTAGCCACCTGAATTTAGTGGATAATACATACATAACCTAAATAAGCATCTTTCTACAAATAGAAAGAAACTTTTATAAAAATCTGTACTATTCGGTCTAAAGACTTTTAATTAAAACCAATTCGTAACCAATGGAATTTAATTTTGTTTCACCATGACTATTGCGTCCGCTTTCGCACAAATGCCCTTGGAAATGTATGGAACATTCTTATTCCTCTTAGCCCAATGAGAAAAATGAGAAAATCTGGACCTTGTCCCATTCAAGGCGACATCGAATTGAGGTAATCATTCGAGCCAAATGTTGCAACACTGATTACACTGATTACTAACTCCATCCTCTGACTTTTATATTTTCTGAAACGTGAAATTTCCGCTGGTGGCTCAGTACTTTTGTATGGCCTTTTTTTCGAGCATCACTATGCTTAAGATGCCCTATCCACCATGCAGTATTAAGAAAAATGCATTAACTTGTTTTCTGGACGTCAAATATCATAAAATGTACCGAGAAATGCATATTGCTAATGGCAGTCGATTTGGGGGTAAAATTAACAAAAGTAATTAATTTACCAAGTTGAGCCAAAAGTTTTCCAACTCCGTGTACGTTGAAAGATAATATTATTGTTAGCTTTCAGTTCAGCTTAAAATGTTCACCTTAAAATGTTGATTTCAAGCGACGTTTTTTTTTTGTTTCGTTCTCTGTTGACATAGGCTAGAATTAGAAAATATCCAATCATTTAATATTAACGAAAAAAGGCCTACCTTGGTATCTGGTGATGAGGTCAATAGTGACGTACATGCCCAAGGGGATTAGTGCCCCAAGTAGGCTTGACAGTGGTCGATGTACAGAATTAAATATAAAAAGTTTATTGTACAGAACCACGGAAAAAAATTAGGAGAAACATTGACTTTGTTTAATGAATGCTGAAATTAAATGTTGAGAAAGAACTAATTATGAAAATTAATTAGTTTTTGGTAATTAGATGATTGAGGGTTTTTAAGGACTAGAATATTAATTTTAATAATTAAGTATAACTGGGTACTGTCTTGTATCCACTCATTTCAGTCACCAAGTCTGGCGAGAATAAGTATGGAATGAATTACTTGGCTAAAATAATAATAAAAAAAATCCTCAAAACACCTTGACATTAAGTTGTTTATATAAAGACTCCCCATCAAATTAGTATGGTTTCTAAGTCATAATAATTTCGGAAAAAAGGATTTTAAAAAATTAGACCAAGCCAATCTACGAAACGTGTTATTTTTTTACATATTTCTTGGTGGTTTCCTAGGAAAAATAGTTTTGGAAAATCAGGGTATCAGAACTTGTTCAAGTGGCGAGCTGACCACGTGCTTTCCGAGCGAAAGGAGACTCTTAGAGAGTGCAAATTAATGGTCACATCGTAGAAATACGTCAATGGTAATAAGCTGGCAGGCTGAGTTTCATATATACGAATGAGCTCTGCGCTTTAATTAGGGAGAGAACACTGTAGTAGTAGTAGCTGTAAATGAACAGATCACTAGATTACTATCTCAACCCTTGAACAGTGTGAGAACGAGCGGACTTATACGACTATCACCCAATCAACATCAGCTTACGGTGACATCATGTTGAAACACCGGTACGATCACTGAAGTTAAGCAACGTCGAGCATAGCTAGTAACTAGATGGGTGACCACTTGAAAATGCTGTAAGTTTCGATGTGCAGGTGGGGTGGTGTATTGGATAATGGATCAGAATTGTTAATCGGAGAGCTGAGTTCCAATTCCGGTTGGATTCGTTATAGTCACTTAGGCGCAAATACCCTTGGGGAAGGTATGAATTCACATCGTCTTCCCCAGCTATGGGTTAATTAGTAAAATTTGTATCACTGAAACCATTATTATCTCCAAAGAAAAATAGAATTGAGTACAAAATATTTAGATTTCGGCATTAAATAACCCATAGAGGTGTTGATATGCCACTAAATGAAAACAACCAACCAACCCAATCATCATCAAAGTTGGAAACAAGCAATTCAGAGTTCAATCAACTGCATGTTAAACATTAGAATTGGAGAAAAGAAGACGCTAATTTGAAGCACCTATGTAACCAATGGCTAAAATACACTACGTTTTCTTAAAATCCTGTTAATTTATTCCAGTCGAATAACTGAAGAATCGTTGTCCCATGACTTAGATAAATTTCAGAAATCCATCAACTTTAAATTCATGTGATACTTGGATGGCTCGACCTTGCAATATTTTGAAGCTGAATTTGGGTCTTCTTGAGATCTTATGTAAACATAACGTGAGTGGAAGATGACGCCGGACGAGTGACCAGAATAACTGGCTCACATTTCTGGCTATTGTTTTATATTTGGTTTTGAGACCAAGGGTTCTTAACCCTGGCGTAACCACAGAAAGACACACAGTATTTAGTGCTAGATTTAGTCACCAGAATAACGAGAAGATCACCTTAGTTCAAATCTGAACTGTAGATGGGGGTATTTGATTGACTTGGCTGATGAGATGTTTTCACACACACACACACACACACACACACACACACACACACACACACACACACACACACACACCTTAAAAGTTTGCACGTTGTTTGAAGAATCTTCTCTCACGATCGTTATCAATGCGACGGTCATATAGTGCATAATCTTACTCAATGGCGCCTCACTGTCTCCAAACGACTTTCTGCTCACATATGAGTAGTAAGTCCGTCAATGATTGGTTGTCAAGTTATATAAAGACTGATCAACCGATTCTATACATCTCTAAAATAGCTGGATGCGTTCTGTACAAAGCTTGTATGTGTGTTATTTTTTATCTTCAATTTTTTGATTGTCTCAATTCTTGTAAATGAAAATGTTCGTTATGAAACCAAACACCTAGAAAGCAGAACAGATATTGCAGTAATCATTTAGATATTTGATAGACTACACCAAATATGGCACAAAGTCATTGTCATAGAAGTCTTGATAACGAACTAAAAATCGCTTGTATAATTAATACATTATCACTCAATGGCAGGCGTTTGTGTCTATATTTTGATCACTATTTAATTGCAACACAGAAATTATTCTCCGCCTCTCTTCTTCTTCCTTTCGGGCTCATCTTTTTACTGATGACTCTGCATTCTGTCTTGTAATTTAGGCTTAGTCTCTTCTTCTCGCTCTTCTTCGCTACCTTCTGTAGGAGATATCAAGAAAACTAAAATTATCCCCAAAAGACCAAATTGGATGAGAATTTGAATCTATATTTGTAAATTGTTTATGAAATGACTCTATATTCTGTTTGGCCTTATTCAGATAGATAGATATTATTTCCATGTAGGTATCACGGATTTTACAAATATACGCATTTAATAAATGATAAAGAAGGTGAAGATTGTGTAGCACCAGATTTTGGCAGAATGCGTGGACCAGTTTGCCCTATTATTTACAAGAGTTTAAATTCAGAGATTTTTTTCTGTTAACTTAGTTGCCACCTGAGGCAAAAGAATCCAACCTTCACTGCTATTCAATCTATAGTTGGAGAAAGATGAATTCATGCCTTTCCAAAGGGCATTAGTATGTAGTGAACGAAACAAACTTGGCGAGAACTTGAACTCGGAACGCCTATTCTATTTTTTCGTACCGATAAACGTTATATTAGATTTAGACAAGACGTGATCAATAATATATGCATAACTAAGTGACGATATTCATTGATTTTGGACCAGTTTCAAGATTTGACTACCATATGTACTCGTGCATAAGCCGACTTCAGGTATAGTGCGACACCTGAATTTTTTTTTGCAACAATTTTTCACCCCTCCCGAAAATTACCTCTGTATAATGCAACCGGCTACCGAAAATGCATGATTTTTCACCTCTTCAAAAAAATTACCTGTGTATAGTGCGAAAAAACTGATTACAAAAACTCGTACTTTACACAAGTATATACGGTATATTAACCCTAAAATAGTTACCAATAAATAGTGAGTTCGATTCTCACTGGGTGCCCCATGCTTTCGGCCTTATTCAACATCTAAGCTATGCTTGGAAAATCGCTATTAACTTTGTATTAGTCAAATTGGATGTTTTGTTATCGTAATCTTTTTTTTTTGTACTCGTAATTCCTAACTAGCAACTTGCTTTTTTGGCTCCCTCTCACTACTCTCCTAAATCAGTGAGAGTGTGTAGCATGTGGTATGGATCAGTTGTCATGACGCCAGAGGTCTATCCATTTTCGGAAATCCGAGGTGAGTAACGCAGGGTTAAAGAAATGGCTCTACCAAAAGCATGCATCACATTTTACTTATGCTATCATTTATCATTTATCCCCAAATTTAGACTTCTGTTTATCTTACTAACTTTCTCGTTCGCTCCTTTTTTGCCTGTTTTCCCTATTTTTCCTGCGTACAGTTCTCGGCTCCAATTAGTTTTCATAATAATTTCACATCTATTCGTTGTTGACAAATTAGTCTGTGAGAGATCAGATAAACATCTCTTTATTTGTCGCAACGAATAAGCTCTTAAATATTACGTGGTTTACTTTTTCAGCGAACTAGACAAGCAAGATTTTTTTGCGCACCTAATGCGTGTATACAATAATACCAACGCAATAAATTAATAAAAAACTACATAACGATTATGAAAAGCTCTCAAGATACAATAAAAAAGTTCCCAAATATAACCAGAGAAAATAATTAATTTCTCTGTGAAGCCTAGTTCGGCAAGCCGCTTGCTTTTTTTTGAAGGAATTTATTTTTATGGGCAAAACTGTTTTATTTCTCATCTTTTGAAGTCAGCAGTTTTCATGTGCGAGAGAGAAAAATAATCATTTATGATATTAGTATGGAAATCAATGACGTCAGAATATAGCAGCTAGAACTTGCTGGGAATGAGTAGAGATGTACAAATAATATGCGTGGGCAAGAAAGAGAAAAAAGAGAAGAGGGAGAAAGAAAAATAGAAAGAGGAGAGAAAAATATGAATAGGAAACGTTAAGATGTAGTTAAGTATAGGAAATGAAAAGAAATAAGAGAACGAGAAGAAGAAATTAAAGAAAAAGAGGAAAGAAAGAACGAGAAAGAAGATGAAAAGATAAGTCGTGTGAGGAAAAGGACAATAAGGAAGAAGAAAGAAAAGAACGAGGGGGAGAAAACCGGTACAAAAAGAACGGAAAGAGGAAGAAAATATTGAAAGAGGAACAAAAGAAGGAGAAAGAAAAAATGGAAAGGGGGAAAGAAAATAACGAAGAGAAGAAAAGACTTGAAATGAGAAAAAATAGAACGATAGGGACGAAGAAAAATCTTAGAAGAAGAAAAGACCTAGGAGAAAAAATTAAAAGAGCAAGAAAAGAACGATAAAGTGATGGAAATAAACGAGGATGAAAAAACTGAAAGAAGATGGAAAAGAACGAGGAGGAAAAATTGAAAGAAGAAAAAAAAACGAGTAGTAGGAGGAGGCGGAAGAAATTGTAAAGAAAAAAGCGATGAAGTGGGAGAAAAAAAAACGAATAGAAATAAAAGGGAAAATTTGAAAGAAGAAGAAAAGGAACGGGAAGAGGAGGAAAATTGAAAAAAAGAAAGAACTTGAAAGAAGGAAAAGAAAAGAAATGGAAGGAAGAATAGAACGAAAGAAAAAAAACAAGAAAACAAGAAAAAAAATAAAAATATTAACCAATAAACATTTAAACAACAAATTGCCGATACAGAGAAGAATAAACCAAGACAAAGAAAGATGCAAGGAGACGTAAGAGAGTATGCGTGAGATTTGTAAGGAGAAGTAAATGTGTGGGAGATGGGAAGAAAACAGTGATATTAAAAAAATGGAAATCAATATAGCGAGACTGGGGAAAACGTGAGATGACACAATGATGTAAGAGGGTTAGAAATGCCAGAGAGAGGAGTGAAAATGCAAAAAGAGAGGGGTGATAAAACCAGAAGATGTTGAAGAGTATAAAAAACGAAGTCGATAAAAAGAAAGGCTTAGGTGAAAGTGAGAAATGACTAAGCGAGGGCATGAGATACAAGGACAAAAAATTATGGCGTCCAGTTAATTTCTCTGTGAATCACTTCATTCCCCACCACATTTCAAGTTTTTTTTTTTTAACAACCTTTTGATGTAAGAGAAGTATTGTTTCATTTGTTAATTTTATGAGCTTCTGATATTCAGGGTCAACAGCTGGTGTATATGAGGTCATGCACTGACTTACAACTCGCTTAGCATTTCTTTTATTTTTATCTAGCAAACACTGCAGACAACATACTTGTAGACTTTCAAATACACACGCACACTCGCACATTCACACACACAGACAAGGAGAAAAGAGAGAAAGAAACAGAAGAATTGTCTGAGTTAATATATTCAGAGATTCTTCTTCTATGTGCAATGTTTCTTTAGGACGTGGGAGATCATAGCTCTCCACAGCTTCCCGTCATTTGTATCCCTTAGTAAAGTTTGTCTTTTTGTTATATCTCCTAATCCCGGTTGTGTCAAATATCTCAAGCTCGTTAGGTGGGTTTTGCGCTGCTTTCCTCTTGACTTCCTCCTGTGAGTGTCAAATTTTCCAAGCTTCTTTTTCATCATGTACTCTAGAAATTTCAACTTTCTCTTTCTGATGCTACGTATAAGTATGCTTTTTGTCTCCATTTTCTCTAAAATTTCGTCGCTGCTCACGAGTTCAGTCCATGATTTCTTATTTGGGCATAGAGCATAATTCTATTGAACCATATTTATGTTGTCTCAACTATCTTCATCTGTGATGAGTGGATCCACCATTCACTGCCATATAGATGTGCCGATATTTCATAACAATTTAGTACTCGTTTCTAATGAAATTTTCCTGTTTCTTAATACTTTACTTCGCTTTGGAAGGCATCTTTTGCTATCCCAATAGGCCTTCGGATTTTGGTGTCGCATTTTCCATCCACTGTTAAACCACCCCTTATATATTTAAATTTTTGCACTTATTTAATTTTGGTTTATCCAATTTATAATGTGCATGTTGGGCTGTTTGGTTTGCTGACAACCAAAAATATTTGATTAATCCAAAAGTAAGTGTAAATGACTTTTATATTTCAGCAAATATTTTTAAATACTTTACAATTGGTAATGCGCACACACACACAAACACACGCACTACCTATATTTTTCAAGTAAATTAAATTGAGTTCTTCGAGTTGCTGCCGTATTTCGTATAGAGAAAAACGTTAAAAATTCACTTCCTTTCTACCGTGCGACGATCGCCAAGAGGTAAGATATCTGACTAATGTCAAATCAGCCGGGTTTCGATCCTGGCTTAAAGCAGTCAGACGTTTAGCCATACTGAGGAGCTGTGATGCAGCGAAACAGTATGTCTGAGGATGACTATAGCCATATCTGAATTTTTTTTCGCAATATCGAGACGCTATCGAGGAGGCGACCTGACCCTTCTGGAATCAGGTCGGGGTTTACTGTTTGAGTCGATATGATGCAAAGCCCGAAATCGGCGATGAAGATAGTGCATCACTGAAGACCACCCTTAATGCATCTGAAATGTATTCAAATAGATAAATTAATACGGTTCAATTGTGCTATTTTTGACCGACTCGCCACTCATCAGGGTCAGCGGGTGAGATAAATTTATTATATACACACAAATTTATCTAATCCCCTGACCCTAATGAGTCATGTGTTTGTGAAACTTTAAAAAAGATAAGCCACTTGAACCATAATAATATACTGGCTATTGTTTTTCTATTGAGCACTTTCTTTACCAAAATTCGAGTCGCCTTAAAATGCATTAAATTCTAGTAATTTTTCGTACTTCAATAGGTGTAATTGGTTAAGTGTGTACATTTGGATAGTTTTTACGCACTCTAGGTCCTGATAAGACATCACTTGTACAAATGCAAGAAAAATTTGATAAAATCTGATAATCGCAGTGTCTTGTCAATCGAAATATGTGTTGTATATTGCTGCTAAGGCGACGAACACTTATATATAAAAATATATAAATAGCTTCATTGTTCGAGTTGTGGCAATTGGTTAGATTTAGGGAGAATCACAGAAGTTGGAATTGTGCACACAGGAACTGACGGAGACAAAATTTTCGGTGAAACTCTGGCCAGCCTCTCTCCCAGGCCAAGAGTTGGAGCTTTTTTTATAACATCTGTACACCCACACAACTTCACGTACCTACTCCTTCTTCCGGTATGTCGCCTATGCAACTTCGTGTGGCCATGCCTCTTCTGGCCATGTGGCTACGCAGGCACGCAGGCACGCAGGCACGCATTTCCTTCCACCCAGGAGACCTTTGCGCCCTGTTTATTTAAGGCTCAGTACACCTGTGCGTCCAGTTTATTTTAGCCATTTCCTGTTTATACTATCACCAGTTCCGATTTACGCTCACTCTCTGATGCAGCGGAAGTGAAGTCAGTTTTCCTCAACTGATATCCAACACTTGTATAAAAGAGGGATTGCTTCCCAAATACATACCCCTATATATATATATATATATATATATATATATATATATATATATATATATATATATATATATATATATATATATATATATATAGAGAGAGAGAGAGAGAGAGAGAGAGAAATAAGATAGATAGATAGATAGATAGATAGATAGATAGATAGATAGATAGATAGATAGATAAAGTTTTGCTAAATTCAACCGATAAGAACTGTTGGTTTAATTTTTTTATTGCATTTTCCAATTTTCAAATCAGGTAATATTAGTGAGATAATCATCATTGAAATAAATATTTTCATCCTCGTAGGTGAGTTTGTGGGAACGAGCCTCACCAGCCCGGAGTTTGGAGTGGAACTTCAGACTTGCTGGCAGTCAGTCTGCTACTCGGATCACTGAGCAAAGTCCAGAAGTATTCCTTCTCAAAGGTAAGTTGATAACTCATTAGGGTACCATTGTTCTTACCAGTATCTTACTAGTATAATAGTGCTTAGCTGTAAACAACATTCACCGACGTGCGTATGGATGTGTAGATGACAATATTTTTGTGCTTGAGCCCGACTATTTAATGTTGATTATGATGGATCAGCCTGGTTAATCCGGAGGTTTTGGTTAAATAAAAGATACAGTCGGATCTGAATTTGCTACGAATTCTTTAGAGCTGAGTCTTCTGTTCCAGGATCATAGTTTTTCATTGTTTGAACCTGTGCCATGAGAATACTACAGTGACAATTGAAATCTTCTAATGATAAAGCTTCATCTATTCCAGGAAGAGTGTATTCATTGCGGGCGTTCAGTGGGAAATCTAAGATATTTCCCATGCGCCCGATTTTTGAGGGTGAGCTTATATGAAATAGAGAAGTAAAGAAGAGGAACATACAAGCGAAAGAGAGAAGGAAATAGCAGAAGAAAGAAAAAAAATGAGAAAGGAAAGCGTAGAATGAATGAATGGAAATAAATAAGAAAGGAAAGTAGCAGATCTGAGCAAGAAAAAATGAAGAAAAAAGAAAAATGAAAAAAAGAAGTGTCAAAAACGTAAAATGAGAAAAAGAAAAGAAAAACAGTAAAAAGAAAGAAAGAAAAGAAAGTCTGGATAAAAATTTGAGAGATGAAAAAAATAATTTTTTATAGAATGATATACAAAGCCCAAGAGCCACTCGAAGTAGAGGGTTACAGAGTAAGAGGCACTGTGATAGGGATATATGTGGAAGACAATGGTTAACTCTAGACTTGAACACGTTAAGAAATAATGAAGTTAATGAAAATCAGACCTGTGAAGTTTAGGATTGTGCGTATTTCACTCCAGCTCCAATGGCCAGTGTTTGAACCGAGGTAAAAATCAGGATTACGTATACTGCTTTAATATTTTTAAAACTCTCTCTGTTTAATAATGTGTTTTTCTTCTGATATTTTCTCACGCTGAGTAACCTCTTGCGTCTTAGTGGCTTTATTGCCTTGCTTGAAGTGAAATGATTAAAAAAATATTCCGTTATCTTTTTCGACATTACATAGAAAGTTAAAGATCAGGTGTTATCTTTAGTGGATTTGACTTTTAGTTTATTATTCGGAAAGTAATAACCAGAGGCACAAGAGCCACTCAAGGTAGAGGGTTACAGAGTAAGAAGTACAGTTTACGGTGATATGTGAAAACAACGGTTAAACCCAGACTTTTAACAGGTTAAAAAATAATGAAATTATTAATAAAGGACAATAAAAGAACATGTTCAGGAAGACAGAAGATAGCGATTGGCGTTGCTTTTAAGTTTTTGAAGATTATAGGTGGCAGGGAAGCAAGAAACTGGAAGAGAGTTCCACAGGCTGGAAGTGCGAGAAAATAAACTATTTATTCGAATTTTTTATATTAGTAATTTTTCACTCGTCCATATTCCATCTTATTTTCTTGATTTCTATCGAAACGCTCTGTTCGATTTACATTTTGTAGCCATTAAATAAAGGATAAAATAAAGTAGTAGCATCGAGTGGAATTTGAACCTTTATCGCTACTCATTGGCAGCTCATCATAACGTGTTTCTTCAATACCCATCAAGCCAACCTGTACTTTATACTACCAGTTCCAATTCCAGTGAGAGAGTGCATAATCTGGAAGGTTCGTTGGTTAATTTTTTTAGCGGCATATCAACCTTAATGGGTTATTTAATGTCGAAATCTAAATATTTTGAACTCAGTTGTATGCCTTCAACTACAGATAAAATGTATTGTGGGTCATTTTACTATAAATATGTATTGTTGTTAATTTTTTTTTATATATAAAAATGTATTGCTGGTATTTTTACTATAAAAATGTATTTTTATACTTTCATAGTGTTTCGTTTTGGGATTAAATATTTGCCTATAACTGGGACCCTAACTGGTGCTGCACTCCGAGTCAGTGTGAACCTGGGACAAACAGCAATTAAGAAGTAGTTCGACGTTCCTCAAATTCTACAATCTTACCCTCAGAGGTCCTGCTGCCGGATGTAGCTTATCGTCATACTCAGGGCTCCCATAATCTGGCGTGATCAACAGTTTTGAACAACCGTTGGTTACGATGACGTGTG